TATATATATATGCATAATATATAACAGACATTATTATGTGTATATATATATACATATACATGTATACATACATATATAAAAATATAAAATTTACATAAAATTAGGTAGAATAGTCCATTGAAAACAAATATTGAAAAATTTACTCTAGACATATAAAAGATTTAATACATACAAGTGAATTTTACAATATGTATTTTCAAAAGACTTTTATAATTAGAGGAAAAATTATGTCTATATTCTGTATATTTTACAAAAAACATAATGATATTCAATGTCTTAATTTATTTGAACGTAGAATTATAGCTGCAGACATAAAATTGTTGATATTAAGTCTCAGTTTCAGAGGCCTGAAATGAAAGAAATATTTTTACTATTACAGATTCTTTGTTTTATTGAATTAAATTAGCTTCAATATATATTTCCAGTGACAATTTTAGATCAAAGATAAAAGTATCCATAAATAAGTTTTAGCCTAATTTGTTGCTTTGGCTGCTTCGAAATTATACGAAGTGTAGGTGTATTATCCATCTTTTATGAAGAATTGTTCCCATTTTCTTATAAAAGTGAGATTTTAAGTTTTTTTTCGTATTAATAACTAATTGCCATTCGATATTTCGTAAATGGAACGTTGTATTTGATTATTCAATAAATAAAGATGGCACAGCTTTTACTGAAAATAATTAGTTAATGTTAGCAACTAGTTATTAATAAGATTGTTTGTTCTATGTTTAAGATTATTGAAAGAATTTATAATTTACATGTATTTAACATTAAAGTACTTCATATTTTGTCACGTATATATATTCTGTAGGCAAAATTAATTATATTATAGGCTGTGTTTCTTCTATAAATTAATACTTGATGTCAATTTATATTCCATAAAATCTTCCTTTTATCCCTTTTTGTTTTGACTAAATAAAAAGTACCTTAACAATATAGTTTGGGTTAATGTTGCAATAATGCAAATAATAAAAGTTGATTAACTTACACTAGGATCGCAGTCCGCACAATGCCAGGAATAGCCTCTTCTTTTGGGTGACTTTTTAACTGGTGGGTCAAGGCAGGTGAAGTGGTAGCATTTTTTACATTCATCACACCTGAGATGTGAAAAGTGACGATATCGTAAATTCAAAATATATTTAAAAAATTAATGCTTGATGTATTTATATAAACTAACATGACGAGATTTTGATTGGTACCAGGCGTATCACAGACATTGCAATGTGTTAAGAGGTCTGTATCCTTTCCCCTTTTCCCATTTCCTGTAGATGTTCTACTACTTGTATTATTAGTAGATACATTTGCTGTTACAGCTGTAGTATTTGAAACTAAAGGTGGAACGGGTGGAGGTGGTAGTTTAGGTAGTGGAGGTGGTGATGTAATTTCAGTACTAGTAGACGTGGCAACAAACATTTGTGGACTTGATTCAGACGCTACATCCCCCTCTGGTCTTGGAATTGGTTTTATCTGTTTATTGAAATAGGTATAAAGTATGTACGCATATCGCAACATTACAGTTTATTTGCAAATAGTTACATACCTTTATTGTGATTCTCCTGTGAATTTCTGGTTGACTCTGACCTTCTGGATTTTCCACATCAAGACTTTTTCTCTTATGTTTGCGTTTTCTTTGTTTCACTCCGGTAATTGGATCAGGAGTATATCTTTTATGTTTTTCCCTATTAACATTCAATGAAATTTTACATTTCATATTTACATAAAAAATATATTTTACACACCTTCTTCTCTTTTTTGCACTTCTCTGTGAAACTGATTCTGTACCATCTGCTGAAGCTACCATATACTCCGGTGAACCTTCCCTCGTTATTGTTACATTATTAATAGGTTGTTGATTGTATACTGATTCATTTGATGGCATAGGGGTTGAAGATGGAGGTTGTGGCCCAACTGGCTTTATGGTTACCTATATAAAAATGTTTCACTTAAAAAGATATAACATCTCCTATACATATATTATTATATTTATAACAAGAAAATAACAATCAAGAACAACACAAAGTTTGAATAATATAATATTGCATATTATATACTTTTGGTGTTGTAGGTGTGTCAGGTGCGGTAGTATTGGTTACACTGCTAAGATTAGCGGAAGAATTTTTTGATGTGCTAGGCGTTGTTGGCGTGGTGGGCACTTGCACTTCCTGTGGTGGTGTTGGTGTTGATGTTAAATTGGAATCATCTTTACAGTGCCTTAATTTACGTGGAGCTGAAGTGTCAACACGTTCAACTTCTGATCCAGAAGATTCTTTGTCACATTCAGAACACTGCCTGTTTTAGCAAGTATTTTATATATATTATTCTAAATCCAATACCAAAATAATAAATGAGCTATATTATTTATAAACATACAATATAATAATACACATACCATCCCATAAGTTTTGTTTTTTTAGGCATACGTGATAGAGGTGGGCTAAGACAAGATAAATGATAATGGAGGTGACATGTATCACATTTTGCAAGTAGATGTTGATTTGTAGACCTTCTACATATTCCACATTGATGCCTTAATGTTAATTCGCCTTTATGATTTTGGTCTTGTGCTTGACTGCTTAACACTCTACCTTCACGTACTCCTTCCGCTCCTTTACCAACTGGTAAGGGAAAACCAACACCCATTTTCAAGGCAGCTGCTGTAGGTACGCCTAAACCTGTACCTATTCAAAAACCATGATACATTTATACACTTTATACATTTAAGATCTAACTTACCTAGAGTTGGCGCTATTCTTGGTTTTGCCAAATCAGTTATTTGTGGTAGAGGCTTCACGAAACCACTACTCTGAAGCACTTGGTGGTACATTTCTATTTTTTCTTTTAATGTTACATTTACTCGAATTTGTTCTTCATTATCTTTCATTACTTCATCATATTTCCTATCTAACCTCTGTTGTTCATTAAGTAATTGAGAATTAATATCAAGAAGTTCTTGTAGTCGCCTTTTCATAGATGTAACTCGTAAATTGCGATCCAAATAATAACCAATAAATTCTACACTAAATGCAGGTGGAATATGCCATTTCTTCCTAACATCAACTAAAGCTACAAGTTGTGCTTCCTGTGCTTCCAAAGCAGCAGTATCAACACCCATGAGTTCTGCCTTCCTTGCTAAGTGTCGGCAAGCAGAAGCAGAAGTAGTTAATAGCCGAGGCATTTTTTGAGTTGGTACTACAAAAAATATAAATATTTTGTTATATTTAATTTTCTCAGATATTATTTTTAGGACATTTGTAATAATGAACTTACCCCATGGTGGTGGTCTAGATGCTTTATGAGCTAAATATTTATGCCTATGCTTTGCTAATTTTCTTTGTATTCTACGTTGTTCTTCAGTATCTAAATGATTAGGTTGCTTTAATAATTGTTGTCGGTATTGAGCTCTTAATTGTAAAGCTAACCAATTACGCCTACGTCTACGAACAAGTGTTTTATCGGAATGAAGTTTACAGTGTGCATAGAATGGATCAGCCTGATCAACTTCCTCACTGTGAGCTTCAGATAACAGGCCTTCCCTTTGTGCACTATAAAAACAACGTTATATTTTTAATTCTACTTTAAACTTGATTTTGTTTAGATTTATATTACATAGTTTAATTATCTTCGTAAAATATTACCAGGTAACATGAAAATATGTATGACACATTCCTGCATCACATTCTATGCATACACCAGTACGAGCAAAGCGTGCATCTTCACACAAAGAACACTGCTTTGCTCCCCATTTACTATATGCCATTTCAAAAAGTGTTACACTTGATAAACGATCAACCTAAAATAAACATACATATTAAAAAATATATATTCTCTACTCACATTTAACAAAAATTATAGAAGTCTTATATACTTCTCCAAAAGCAACACCGGGAACGTAAAGTGCACATACTAAATGAACCCATTTGCCTACATCAGTCTCCTTAAATATTCCACCTTTATTAGGACAAAGTTCACAAGAAGGATCCTCAAAGCCTGCACTACAAGCTTCACAAAACCATGGTGCTGACTGACATAAGGAATCAGTACTTGAGAAACTTTCAACATCAGATACACCATAACATCCTAAAATAAATTTAATTTCAAAGCTATTCTACATTTTTTACCTTCATGCACACTAACACCACAACCATCACATTCAACAATTTCATTAACATCGTCACTTCTATCTCCTAAACAACCACAACAAATTAACATTTTGTTTAGTTTATCTTCAAGTGAACCACCCTTTAATGCTTGTTGTTTAGCTTGTTCAATTACATCTCCCACAGTTAAATTAGGATTTTCTTTTTTATTCAATAATGGATCTTCTAAAGAATCATCAGATTCCTCTGATGCATCTTCTTCCTCTTTCATAAATGCAGACAAGCTTATATTAGTTTGTTTAAAAATATATATTAACAATGTTGTATTGGAAATGAATGTAATATAATTTACCTTTTCCAATATCATTAGAATCCACCGAATCGTCATCAGATTCTTCACAATGATCTTCAATTCTGAAATCACTGTCATCAGAACTTTCACCTAAATCAAAATCAAGCAAAGATGGTGCTGATCCTACAGGCTTAACCCTCCTCTTTTTTGGATCCCTTTCAACTAAAAAGAGTTGAAAATTTGATATAACTGTTTATATATATGATGCTTAAAATATTTAAGAAAAAGGAATAAGCACGATATTAAAAATTGTTCATTTAATACAAAGGATACACTCTCAAAAAAGTACAAAAAAATAATTTTAGGTTATGTAAGTACATAATTCACGATAAATACGTACAAATGCTAGTCATATTATTCTTAAAGCAAAACTTTTGCTTAATTTCAATGAAAATATTTCATACTTTTTGAAATACACAAAGTTATTTTTTCTTTTAGAAGTTCTGACACATCCGTATACCGCTATATAGTTTTTAAATGCCTCCCACTACACACTGAACTCATCAAGTCGTCACTGTAAAATACTGACGTACGCTTAATATATGACGCCGGTATTGTATATTATGTTAAATTTTCATATATTATTATTATTATCCATTGCATCACGAGTAAACAACGATTAATGAGCAAATTATTTTCTAAATTAAAAAAATTTTCGTATCAAAATTTTGAAAAAAAAAAAAGAAAAAGAAACTACGTATGTAAGGTAAAATTATGATTTATTTATATCGTAAAATTAATAAAGATACAAAATTCATTACTGTGAATATATTCAATAATGTAATTTGATTTTTATTTTTATTTCAATTATACAGTTATATTAAAAAAATATATGTACATATACTTAGAATGTAAATATGTTTGATATAATATTGTACCTTTAATTCATTTTTCTAATATTCTACATCCATATTGTCGAAAAAATTATAGCTAAAGTTGTTTGCAAATTTTATATATAAACTTAAACATTTAATATATAATTTTATGTTATGAGAAAATATTTGTTTTTGTTTATTATATTACTCAATTTAACCTACAGTAAAATATTTTACGAGATTTTAACAGATAATTTCCTTAACTTACTCATTGTTTTATATAAAAATCCTACATCGTCGTCCTGAGACATTCTTGGCACAAATTTTCTTCAACTCAGCAATATAAAAGTTAATACTTCTTCAAATATATTACTTTTAACACGTAAATAACAAAATTTTATGATATATATGATAATTTTATGATATATATCATAGTAATATACACATTATTTCATATTAATGTTTTTAAAACCTCTTAGCGAACTATTCAATTATTATAAAGGTATGAACTAACTTCCTTTGGTAATGTTATCCTTCCGACGCTGTGTTTCTACTCGAATCAGAAACCAATCGCCATATTGAATCTCGAAATCCTTCAGCGGGAAGTACAATTAAACTACGCTAAACTAATTACATATTTATTTGTGAAATAAAATCAATTTAAGTATATTCAACATCTGAGTACTAATATTTTCAATAAATTTGTATTCATTATTTGATTCTCAGTTCACTTTTATTACTTATATGTAATATTAGTTTAAAAGACCAATTTTCATGCTTAAATTCATTGAATATTATGATTATCTTCCTAAAATTATAATTGTATTAATAAAAACATTTGTTTAATAAATATAATAAAAGGAATTCATAATTATAAATAACGAATTTTACTATTTGATATAGGAATCACTATAAAATATGTTGTATTAAAATATGACATTTATAGTGTAGTATTAAGGCTGGAACTTAAAACAAATTAAGCGGTACTATTCGATAATGAAATAATAATTAATTGTTATCAGGTTGCAATGCATTTTGTAATAACTTTTCGGTTTTCAATTTCTATGAAATCTGATGAAAATGTTAAGACTGGCGAAAATATGGTTAAAGATAAGTTTAAAAGAAAAGGAATACGTTTGCCCAAGGAAAATAAAATAAATAAAAGCACAATTGAAATTACGCAAATTCGAAAGAATATTATACATGTGGATTTAATATTAGTAGAAATATACGTTGAATATGAACTTCTTCTAAATTATAATTTTAATGATTGTCGTTGTTGGGAAACAGCTGCAAAAGGTACATAATACAATTCTTTAATTCGTTTTATTTTATGTTTCAGAACATTGTATTGAAAAAGTATAGTATTTCTTTTCGTTTCGTAATTTTTTAATCTCGGTTTTAATAATACATATTTAATTAATTATTATTTTTAATTTAA